CAACAACACTGGCCTTTTTTCAGACCCGTTACTAAATGCTGAATGCCCTCTCACTGCAGGGCCTTTGCATTTGCTGTTCCCTCTGCTGAGGATCCTTTTCCCAGCATTCCGATCTCCAGAGATGCCCTTTCTGTCCATCAACTCTATCAGATTACCTTGTTTTATCTTCCTCATGGCAGTTATTCACCACCTGAAAGTACTGTGTCCATTTACTCACGTACTGACTTTCTGACTCCACTGGGATGTTTGCTCTGAGTTCATAAACTACAAACCCAGAGCCCCATAACTAGGCGTTGGGTGACTGGATAAATAATGGACACTGAGTTGTGTCTTCAAGCTGGGTATTGTGTGTGGGCTGTTCTGCCTTGTGAAGTGGGTGAAGGGATGGGGTTGCTGAGAAGGTCAGGGGAGGCCACAGGGCCTTGTGACCTTGATTTCAACTTGTCACAGGTCTAAGGTAACATGTGGCCTCGAGAGAAGGAAGGGGCCAGTTCCTGAGAGAGTCTAGGCTACGTGGGTCAGGCTGGGGCCAGGTAGGGGCAGGAGAGCTAAGAGGGAGCGTGGCCTCTGTTCCCAGATACCTGACAACTGGGAAGCTTGTGGCTCTCGCAAGGGCTCCACCTGCCCTCCTGGAGCCTCCCATTCATTCACCAACACAGGGCACCTACCTACTATGTGGAGGCACTAGACATGCAGTACTGAGCAAGAAAGCCCAGGTCTGCCCTTGACGGAGCTCATTTTCCAGAAGGGGGAACAGACAACCAGGAAAGACAGTTTCAGATTCTGATAAGAGAAGGCGAGATAGATGAGACTACGGAGGTGAGTGTGGAAGGAGAGGCGTTTGGATAGGGTGGTCCAGAGAGGCCTGTGGGTGGAGGAGATGCTCAAGTGGAGAACCTGTGACCCAGCCACGGTGATAAAGGGGCATCCGAGGGCCAGGACCAGCAGCGGAAAGAGGGGCATGTGGTGGGGAGCTGGCAGCACCTTGTGGCCATGGTAAATTCTCGGCACACGGTCCCCACGATCCCATTTGCTCATCTTCAACAAGGACGGAGTTAAAATGTCTTGCTCAGAGCTGCTAAAGGTACAGGAGAGCCTGAAGTTGTTCCCTATTCACAAATGATACCTCACCAAGCATTCTTGCCTACAAGTTCCGAGGCCAGGTGAGTCTCGGCAGGTGGCAGCTGCCTCTGATAGCACTGCAGTCCGTCAGGGTCTACACCAACCCTGGGAATGTTGCTGACTGTTTTTTAAAATTCAAAGTCTTTACCTTGACCCTCCTTGAGAGAGTTGGGATAGAAGAGGACCAATGGATATTTGCTCTTTAATCAAGGCTAAATCTGGTATGTTCAGAGCACTTAGGAAACATTTAAATGTTCTTAAAACAAATATTACTTTAATCAGCTCTCTGGACCATCCATTTTTCAGTAACATGATAAAAACACTTGTTTGAAAACTTCCTTCAGAAAAACCAAGTCCTCATATAGCCATATTTACAAAGGAGAGAAAGTATGGGCTGCAGAGAAAATATTGTGGGAAGTAGACTTAAAATAGAATCAAGTTTTGGATATTCTCAGATAGTGATGGAAAACAAATATTATGCTTATTTAACTCAGTAATCCTTCAGTTCCTAGACATTCACCCCAGTGAGACAAAGATGTCTGTGCACAAAGATGCTAACTGCAATATCACCTCTAATGGTGCATGTGTGTGTATGCACAGCACATACACACACACTCAAGTAAGCACAATTTGTAACCAATAGGTCTGAATTACTAAAGTATGTGCAGACCCTATTTTCATAAATAAGGCTTTTGAAACCACCACAAATCCAAAACAAAGACTTATATATAATAAAATCCCTTGCCTCGTGTTTTAGACCTAATTTTCTAGCATATCTTGAAGGGAGTTGAACATGGAAGTCAATCAGCTCCCACCCAGTAAACCAATGAATGGCATGTTAGGTGTACTCCTTTTGCCATGCGTAATGATCTCTGCCTTTGTTGCAATTGTACTGTTTGAAACTAGCGTTTCCTATCACTAATATCGCCATACTTGTTTTCGGTTTTCTCTGTTTTATACAACAATAAAGGAAAACCTAAAAAGAAGTCAGCCAACTACACAAAATCTGCTATGTGCAAAGGGGAAAGCTCTCCTGTTGTAGAACAAGGACCTGGAATGCTACGGAGCATAGAAAAGGCAGTCAGTGTTCACCAGCCAACGCACACAAGCAGCTTTGGGTGAGAAAGGTGATCTGGGGTGCCTCGGCATCAAAGTTGGGTTGTTCCAAAGTCAAACAGCACTGAAGCTCAGAGCCGCTTACATGTCTGACTCCTTAGAGTACTATTTAATACAAAGCAATTATGCAGCAATATAGGCATTAGCAATAATAAGGTACATTAATGGTGCTAAAGGAAATGGAGCTCTAGGATGTACTGTTGATTTTAAGAGGCAAGAGCTCAATAGTTTTCCAGTTGCTGTTCCTATTTGTCCAAAACCTTACACAAATACTATCTTGTATGCACACGGACAGCTCTGAAGGGATCCCCAAGAAGCCATTACTGAGGGCGCCTCTGAACTAGGAGGTGAAGATGGGTTCTGGCCCTGGTACTGCCAGTATTGGGTGGGGGTGGCCTGTAGGAGTTGAGACTCGTTCATCTGTGACACAGGCTGGCAAACTATGGCCTCCAGATCAAATTGAGATGATTGATCCAAGAGTTAAGAGTGATTTTATACTTTCAAAGGGTTGTAAAAACAAAAAAGAATAGGCAACAGAGATGAGTGGTAAAACACCATCGGGCTCTTTGTGAACAGTGTGCCTACCTGGGGTCTACGGGTCAGAATACAATGAGCTGGGTAAGAGCTCGGCTCTGGCGAAGCCTGCTCAGGGGTGACTCCTGGCTTTTGCTTACTGGCATATGACCTCGGCAAGCCAATGAAGCCTACTTTCCCCATATGTAAAAAGGGGGTAAGAGGGACACTTCTTCATGGAGATGTCGTGAGGCTGCAATGAGAAAATGCAAGTAGAGCATCAGCCTTGGGCCAGGAGGAGTCGGCTGTTAGCATCTGCATGACATTGATGAGAGGACTGCATGGGACACTGGGAACATCGAACGAATGTTATATGTACACATCCATGTTAATAACACACTGTAAAGTGCTAAAGAAGTCAGGCAGAATAGGTGGCACATAGATAAAAAGTCTAAATCATAAAAAATTCTGGGATAGTCAGAAAAAAAGTTGGTGTTATGAAACAAGTAAAAAGTAGTGGATTGTCTTAGATTAAGGACGACAAAGAGTGTACTGTGTGATCCTGGAATGAATCCTGGATTGGAAAGACAAACATACACACAAATAATATAGCTAAAAAAGCTAGGAAGGATATTTTTGGAGAATGTGAATGAGGACTGAATATCAGAATGATATTAATTCAATGGATACAAAAATTCTAGGGTGGCTATTTACACACAATCTATATAAGACAGCTTGTCAAGGGTTATTCAGCCATAAATTCTACCAGTGAGGCCTATTACTGTAATAATAAATGATATACATTTAATTCCTAGCTCCTTGAAGCAAGCTCATTTTTTCCTGTTCTACTTAAATTTTTAAAAAGGTATAGCAAGGGAATCCCTGAGCTTCACTTCCCCATGTTAAAGCATTTTTTTTTTTTTTGGCTTAAACAGGGGAAATTTATTTTTCTTATCATTCTGTAGGCTGGAAGGTCAAAGACCAAGGTTCTACAGGGATTTGGTTTCTGGTGAGAGCTTTTTTCCTGGTTTGCAGAGGGCTGCTTTTGTCCTCACATGGGCTTCCCTTACTTTCCTTTGCATGCTCCCAGAGTAAGAGAGGGAGAGAGAGAGATTTCACTCTTTCTTTACTTATAAGACTACCAGTCCTATTGGATTACGGTCCCACCCTGAGACCTCATTTAACCATAATTACCCCCTAAAGACACTATCTTCAAATACAGTCGTATTAGGGATTAGGGCTTCAACATATGAACTTGAGGGGGACAGAATTCATTCCATACCAGGCCCTAAGAAAGACTAACAGTTTATTAGAACTTATGAACAAATGTACAGCCCATATGAATAACAGGGCTATGATTGACGAAGGCAGAACTTATATAAACCCACTGATTTTGTTCCTGAGCAGTTGAAATAAAAATCCCAAATTTAACTAAACAAAAATTTTAAAAAGCAATATACAACAAAAGAGGATAAATTGTGTGCTGAACTTGGAGATGCTCCATCCATTCCTCCTCTAAGGAAGGACTTGTTGCTGGGTTGTGAGTGCTGTTTGCAAACAGACTTCAGTGGTCAGCTCCTGCAGGTACTGCTTCAGCTGCAGGGAGCCCCCTGCCCAAGGGTCCACTCTTCTCAGGGCAGCCAATGTCCAAAGAATAATCAAGGTAGGGGTAATTAAGAGATTGGTTCAAGCATTTTTTTTTAAGCAGCTCTTTCAATTTTCTAAATAGCACATCTTTTCTCAATTCACAGAGTTGAGCTCTGCTCACACATATCAATACAAAAGTTGACATGCAGATCACAGGTGGAACATCCACTGTGGATTCAACACAGAGTCTGAAGCCAAGGCCTGGGCTCTGCTCTAAGGATGGAGCTCAGAATCGATCAGAACACTAGGGAGTGACAGTGAGTGTCTTCAGGGCCCAGAGAAAGGGGAGGTCAGGGTGGGCTGAGGCAGAGGTTCACGTCCTGCCCAAAAGGTTTGTTAGGTGAATGGACCCAAAGGGATGGGCTGTGCTATCAGCCGCATAAACTGGTTTCTGTAAGAAAGTAATTGGCATCCATCTCTGAATTGAACTGGTAAGGAGCTTCACAGCACATGTACTTTACACACTTAAACTTACATTAACTTTCCCATCTCAGACTTAACGTCTTTTGACTTCCTCAGAAAATCCAAACTAAAACCAGCCGCTGTTCTCCTCCGGGACAGGCTGTGACCCCCTGCCCGCTCAGACAGCCCCCGTCACTCACCGTGGGCCCACCGTCCACAGCGCTCGCTCCTTTCATGCTGGCGGTGTGAAGCAGCTCCCTGGAGCTCCACGGCTAGTGTCCCCGGCTGCAGACGCAGATTATGCAATGTCACTGCACGTCACTGGCTGGTTCTCAGAAACTGGATTCTATGGAGCTGACAACATGGGAAATTGTCAAAACGATTATCCAAGCAGGCAAACTTTCTGGAAAGCACAGTAAGAGTAAAGTGTAAAGGGTGCAGGAGGGGAGACCTGAAATTCAGGCCACCCTCACTCCTCAGTGCCTGATGCCTCCCTTCATCTGTAAGTAGAGACTGTCACACATTTGCTATGTGAAACCACAAAAGAAGAAAAAAATACTCTTCTGCTTTATCGGGTGAAGTTCCTAGTTTGAAAAGCTCAGTGTAGGAGCACACAGCATTCTCATCTCTTGAATAACTCCCACGGGAAGAACAACCTTACTTTCCTGATGAGAGGTCACTAGGGCAAATTTCCAATAGAGGCCAGGGCTTTTTCCTTCCTGCTCCCTAAAACTTGCTCTGGAACAGCCAGGAGAAAACAATCAGTGGATGCCTGCAAGGACCTAGTCCCGTGTATTTCTCACTCCAGTGCACACTTCTCCCTGCTCTGACCTGTGTGCCCATCTCCTGGTCCTTGCTTACACTTAACAATGAACATTTTTTATGTGCCGACTCTGCACCAGGGCTATGCTGAGCACATAGCATTACAGTTATATTCTCTCTTAATCTCACCAAAACCACAACACTAGCTTACGCAGTCCAGCACTACTTGATAAGGCTTTTTGCTTTCCCTAGATTCAGACCAAACATCCAGAGAGGACCTACCGGGGAGCAGACTGCTTGCTAGGCACGTTTGCAGTTTTATTTCATTTAAACAAACCAGAACCCAGTCTCCTGAGCCTGGCTCAGGTTCCATCTCGAGTAAGTTGTCACTCTCGTGGGAACCTTCCTATGGTTACAGCACTGCCCTATCTGTGGTCGCCCCATGTGTAGTCCCCATGAAGGCTGGGGACTAGGAGATAGCTGATTGATTTCTGGCTGAGACAATTCATGTTTTAAATTGTTATCATTTTTGGAAGTTAACTTCTGGGGCCAAGTAATTGACATGCTGCAGATGGGAGCAGATAACAGGGAGGGGAAAACCGACCCCAGGGAATCAACAGAAACTGACTTAACAACAAGTTCAAAGTGGGGACCCACAGAGAGGAGGACAGAGGTGGGAGAGCTGGGGGCGACTTAGGGAAGGCTTCACTAGGAAAGCGAAATGTAAGCAAAGGGCAGATCAGTATAGAGGCAGGGCTTGTTCCTAGCTGCAACACCATGAACATGCAAAAAAAAAAAAGAAAAAAAGGATAGAATCAGCAAGTTCCATTTAAGGAAAACAAGCAGTTTCATATGCAAGAGCAGTTAAGTCATAAAGGCTGAGGCTATGAATGACAGCATGGATTAGAATTATTGTCCCCTATTGGTCTTTACAGATACAGAAATCATTAAAATGGTGCCACTGCAATGCCTACGGCTAGTGATATTTGTTCGGCAGAAGTCTCCACAAAAGAGATTTCAATGTTGTCAAGTGCAAACCTGGACACCCTTTTTGGGTACCCACTTGCTCCGACTTTCTTCTGGCCCTACTCACTCCTCCGCATGGGTGGCCACGCAGCAACACAGGAAGACGACGAAGGATTACTGAGCTAAGTCTGGGACGTATGTTTCCAGGGAGGTAATCTATTAAACCCAAATCTATGCTTCCACATAAATATTTAGATGTAATGATGTTATGATTGTTTCAAAAAGTCCTCAGCATCCATAGATGTATACTGAAATATTTAAATAGATTCACTTCAAAATAATTCAAGAAAGGGGCAAGTGGATACAGGTGTAGGTAAAACAAGGTTGGCCATGAGTTGCAAACTGGGGAGTCTGAGTGATGGGGACATGAGGATTCCTGTACTGTTGACACACTGAATTATAGAAAGAGCAGCTTTATTAAGATATAACTCACATGCCACAAAATTCACCCTTTTAAAGAGTACAACTTATGTGTTTTTTGGAGTATTTACAGAGTTGTGCAACCATCACCACTATCTGAGAACATTTCCCACCAGACCAAAGCTTCACACCCATTAGCAGTCACTCCACATTCCCCTCCCTGACCCTGCAACAATTGTTTGTTGTATTACTGAAAAAAATACATCTGAAAAAAATGCAAAAAAGGATGGACAAACTTGCTCAAGGTCGTACAGTGACACGAGACAGAATGTGAATCAGCCTGTTGAAAAAGAAAAATGACTCCAGCCTGTCCAGTTGGGATGTTTCCCATTACCTCAGCAAACTCCTGACAGTGATTCAACCCAGTACCGCAGGGCTGACCCTGACACCCTCCATACAGATTTGAGTGCTACAATTTGCATGTCCATTTCTAAGGAAAAAACAACCTAAACCAAAAAACATAACTAAGACATAAAGTAATAGGATTTGGCCCTGGAATTATAGACTCACTCCTACATAGACAGCTACCAAAGTATTTTGTGAATGAAGGGTTTTTCAGTCTGGTATTTGCCATGATTTTTCTGAATAGAAGGCCTTAGACATTTTGCTGCGATCCATTCATAATGTACTGCTTAAGGCAAATACATCTCGTATGTGCACAAGTAGCCTAAGAGTTCATTATACCAGGAAATTGGGTGGCTTTCGTAATATCCCACAGACTGAAGGTTGAAACAGCCAGTGTTCAAGAGAATCAAGTTGGGGAGACCCCAGTGAGGTAATTTTTTCCCCCCTTCTCTTTAACAAATATGCTACTGAGAAGTGTTGTGGATCAATTTTCTCAGAACCTAGTGAGTCTGATCACTTTCAGAGCTCCTGATAAATGTGCAGGCAGGTGGATTGCTTCTGTATACTTAGCTGCTTTTTGGTATGTTCTTTTATTGTTTTCACTGGGCTTTTAGCTATCAATACCTACGTACAGCCGAACACCACAGAATGTCCGAAGTATTAGAGGCCTGGCAAGAAACTTCCGACTGTACTGCCTTAGAAACATATGATTATCTGGCAGACTTTCACCTCATGAAGGTAACTCAAATACAGCTCTTTTGGTTAAAGAAGAGTTTTGTAAATTGCCAACAAATTGATCTAAACACCCTAATGTAGGGATGATGTGGAGGGACTGGGATTCTGCCGCTTCTATGATTAGTGATAACTCAGTTATCACTAATTGCAAGGTTGAGAGGGAGAAGGAGTTAAGAGCCAAACCTGAAGAAAAGGACACAGAGGAAATGCTGCGGGTGGTGGGGTGGGGGTGACATGAAGCTCGAGGAAAAGGCAGAATGTTGACAGGGAGAGAAGAGAAGTCAGGTCAGAAAATGATGCCCCAGGTAGTCAGTGTGGGGTGAGCAGTGAGTGGAGTGAATTTACCACAAGGTGACTGGGAAAGACGCTTCATAGATTAAAACACCCACTAAGGGAGTGGGAAGGTAAACGATAAAAGCTGCCCAAAAAGGCCAAAAGCCTGAAGTACGAAAGCTACAAAAATGTTTACTGTTTTCTAAAAGTTCTTTGTCATTATTCAAAACTGCATGGTCACTTTTGGAGTCTCCTTATCCTTGGTCCCATTTTAGTTCAAACATACTCCGCATACTTATTGTCCGTCTGTTAATTCCACTGTCTGGTCAAGTCTGGCTCACTTCTAGTTTCTGTTGAGTCTCATCATGGTGGCTGTTTGCTCACCTCTGACTGTAAACCCATGGTTCCTAGAATTTTACGTAGAATTGAGGCCTGGGGTGAAGACTGTTCTCCCACAGGAAACTTGTGCTGATTACCAGGCCCTCGTGGCCACTACCAACTGGAGCTACTTTGAACTCTCAGCTTGCTTTCCTCGAAGCCACATGATGTGAACTGTTCCAACTCTGCTTGAATAGCTTATAGATGGGATTCTGAGAAGACCCTCCTATGGCAACACCCTAGACCCCTCCCCACAAACCTGAGCCAGGTATCCTTTCTCTGAGGGAGGGTTTTTGTCACATCCACCCTTTGACGGAGGCGGGGACCTTTTGGGTCCTAGGGCTTTCTTTCTGGGTCTTGATCTAAGTTCTTACCCTGTGAAGAAAGAAGAGCTTAGAAAACATTAGGCTATCAAGGATTGTCAAATGTCCTTGGTGCAACTGGGGGTTCCGTCATTGTTGGTTCTGATCTGTTTTCCGGTTAATTTTGTCTTTCTGCTTCTTGCTAGCTCAGCTGTCCATGGAGATTAAAAACAAATTCTATCTAGGTTCGAACTGAAAGGGTTCTGAGGGTATCCAGTCTGCTTCATTGTCAGAAACAGTTCTCCCCCCAAAAGTGAATGCCTTTCCCCTTCCCCAAATCTGTTTATATCATGATGTATTAAAAAAAAAGGACCTTCACTGATTGAAGGCATGTGGGGTATTTTGATTAAGCTCTTAATCACGGAAAAGGAAATGACTTACCTTACTACTCACTGAGCCAGTAGCACGGCTGAGACCGGACTTCCCCCACATAACACTGCCTTTCTTAAGGGAAACCAAAGCTTAAGGTAAAAGGAAGGTTTTTCTGGCTATCTAAAGAAATGAAATTATAATTAAAAAAAACTCCTAGAGTAGAAGTAATATTAAAGATACAGAGCTAATGGCGGTTAAGCTACAAAAAATCTGACTTGTAGAACAAAGCACTAAATGAACAATGTGAAAAGTGCCAATATAAAGTTGTAATTCTTTGAGGATTTATGTTGAAATCTGGAAATATTCAAAGCTCTAAAAAAAATTTAGCTTTACATTATTATATACAAAAAGTTTATTTTAGCAATTACATACTTACAAAAATAACACAGAAGGTATAAGTTCTTATCCCACCTTGAATTCACCATTTGAATTGCAGAGTGTTATGTGGTACAGTTAATGTGTGGGCACCAAATCCATGAACTATTCCTGGCATACCACCAAGGTCAAAACGGTATGATTTTTAAAAGAAAAAGAAATGAAACAAAAAGTCTGTTTTGGAAACCCACAAAAGTACCTTGATCTTGTAAACAGAAGTCCTTAAACTACAGATATATTGATGACACTGTTTCTATAACTGGAAAAAATGGGATTAAAAAAAATCATCAACAGTTAAAAAGATACAGTGGAACATATTAGGGTAGAGTGTGGTCATTCCAGTGCATGTGCCAGAGAGGAAGCATATAAAAATGTCAAATCTCTGCTTTACAGTTGCAGAGGTTACAAGCAAAAGAAAAGTCAGAAGATGTGGGGAGTTCCAGTTGGTAACTGTTTTGGTAGAACTGGTTATCCTTGTTCCCATTCAGTTGGTATCTTTTAATCTTGCAAAAGGACCACTCGCAGATGGCCAAGCTCAAAAACTGGCAAACCAGACCACAAAATAAAATAATTTAAACTCTCTATAGACTAGTAAGTATAACTCTCTGGAAATCTGAATTAAAACTCTGATTTAACACATTAGAATGTTTAAAATGGTTTCATAGACCGAAGAGTTAAAATACTCCCTAAGGATTATGACTAAGGCAGAATCTTTATGTAATAAACTGCAGAAGACTTAAAGGCTCCTGTAACATATAACAATCTGTAACATGTAACAACTTTAATCTGTTCCACACTTTTTCAAATGATCTTATTACATTTCTAGGTACTTCTACCCAGATCATATTTGTGTTTGGGGATAAATATAAGCCAAAGTCTATCTTTGTGAGGAGAGCTCAGGGTTCTCTGACCTATCTAGAGCTCAATTAGAGAAATATTCTCACCTAAAAAACTTCAAGAAAAAAACCAACTTGTATTAGTTGGTTAGCTGCAAAAATCTGAGAACATAGCTGCCATATGCAGTCGTGATGAATGGTTTCAGTTCATGTTGTGGGGAACTGGAAAACATTTAAAATACTTTACCTAGGAACGAAGTCAATTGATATTAATCATTTTGAAGATAAGCAATTAACTGAGAGCAGTGGTGGGCTCACCTAATTTTGATTAGATTGGATGTTTTCAATTATGCTTCCCATCATGATTCTTACCCAAATGGTATCTTATCAGAAATACACTCATTGAAGGTAAGCACTGCAGGTAATGAAGGGAAGTGGGAGGTCTGACGACGGATCTATAAATCATGAGGAAAAACTAGTTACTAATTTTACTGAGGTGAAAAATATCTAACACTAATGTTGCAGATCTGAGCTTTAGCATCAGAATGAGGTCTTTAGGATAGAATTGGTAGACTCACTCAAATAGTTTTAACATGGCACAAACTCTTGGTTCTCAGAGCTGTATGCCTACTTACCCACTAAAATGTATTTTGAAAGAAAATAAACAGAGGATGCAAAAAGGGCACAAAAGTTGACAAAAAACAAATGAAAATTCCTCATGACAGATCCATGTGAGATCTAGAAAGCACTTTAATGCTCGATCTTTCTTCAAATGATCAAGATTCAAGAGAAATGGCAAGTCCTATATCTACAAAACCAATGAAAATCACACTGTAACAATCAGCGAATGCAGAACCGCACAGATCTGTGACTCCCGACTTTTTCCACCATGATTCTACATCAAGGTAAAAAAAGGTTCTTCTGTACAAATCCAAGAAGGACGTAGAGATGGCAGTCCGACTGCCAAAGAGGGCACAGACTTGCTGCTGATGCTGGTGATGGGACCACGGGGAGGGGGCCAGGGTCCTCAGGAGAGAACCCCAAGGAAGACGGCTCTAGTCTGTGGTGGATCTCCGGTACCAAAACCGCGCCCTGAAGTCATCACTGCACGTCATGAAGCCGGGGTTGGTGGGCGAGTGCACTATACAGCGCACGATGTTGTTGTGGCCCAGAGAGAGCAGGTTTCGGCGCTCTGCTGTCCTTGAGTCCCAGCAGCAGAGGCTGATGGTCCTTTCGTCCGGCAGCAGCACATAGTCCTCGGTGTGGTTGAAGACGGCCTGCGTCCGGTGCACCTGCCTCCCGCTCAAGCCAGCACCTGCGCAGAGACCGAGAGCATGAGGGCCTGGGTGCCCGCGCTAACTTCCATGCTCACACTGGAGACCCTAAGACTGTCCTACTTCTGTTATTCATCCTGTCGATGTATTTTAAAATCACTGGAGTAACATGAACTTATTATGCAAAACTCTAAAAAGATATGAAAATGAAAATCACCTCTGGGCCTGCTACTACCTAAAGCAACTTAGTTAATGTTCTCAGGTAATTATAGGCATAAAATCACCTTTTAAAAAAAATACAAAATGGTGCCACATTGTATTATCCCTTAATGAGCACGGTTTAAAGCAACTCTATGCTGGGTTCATTTTTCATGTTTCTTACTGGCTGCTAAGTATTTCATTGTTTGGATCCATTATTTAATAGTTCTTTTCTTGCTAGGCATTCACTTTATATCTAGTTATAAGTGAAGTGACACACATTCCTTGTACAGAACATATTATTTTCTTAGGACAAATTCCTAAGAACAGAATTACTGGGATGTATGCATGTCTGCTCTCCAAAAGGAAGCTTTATGCTTTTTCATGACTATGAAAAAAATAAGTATTTTAAAGTACTACATAAAGTATAAACAATAAACACTGTCTAATAATTTTATATCCAGAGTATTCTGATGAATGTCTTTTCCAAATATCATCATGGGTTGTATGCGTATCTATAAACCTTGAAGAGCAGAGTATATTATCATATGCCGTTTTTATTCAATAGCATGTAGTGGAGATCTATAAAGAGGGAATGAATATGGCTTAGTGGATAAAAACACAAGGTCTGGTTTCAGATCTGGATTCAATACTTGTTAGGATGTGACCTTCGACCAATTACTAAACATCCCTAAGTGTTGATTTTCTTTGATATTCCATGGAGATAATTACAGTGCCTACGTGCAGGACTGCTGTGCTGTGGGGATTAAAATGAGAGATGATGCACATCTAGCTTCTGTAGGGTAAGTGCTCACCAAATGTTACTGTAACTATTTACAGTCAAAGGCTGCATGCTGTGAAAGGATGCGTAATGACAAGACACTCAATGCTTCTTGGTGGACATTTATATTTCTCTTTCTACTGCTCAGATGTTGGGAAGGACATCTTTTCATGTGTGCATTTCCATGCTTGCCCAAGAATCTTTCTAGGTTAAATTTCTAATAGTCAAATATAACAGGTCAAATATATATATAAATAGTCAATATAACAGGTCAAAAAGATAAATATTTAAAAATTTGATATCATGTCACCAAAACTGTTGTTCAGAAAGTGACACTCCTAACAATATGTGATTTTCTGAAATGTTTACCAACATTAGATGGCATCAGTCTTTTAAATTCCTGGAATCTGACTAGCACAAAAAGATTTTTTTGTTTCCAGTTCTCAGCTTTATGGTGAAGTCGGCCATCTATCTTTTCTTGGGTACACTGACCAAGGTCCAACATGTCTATTATATATGCTATGAATATTTTTTCCCTAGCTCAGCATTTTAATCTTGTTTCTAATTTTTAACATCAACATTTCTAACATATACATGGTAGTTTTTCCTTTTCCTTTATTTTTTTGAGAACCCTTTGAATTCTAGCTAAACATTACAGCTGGAAACATAGACCTAAATGTGCTGACCTGAAGAAGTCTTAACCTATGAATTAGAAAAAAAGAGATTTGCATATAAATTTAGTACAATCTTATTTTAAAATCAAACCCCAATTTTCCATCAAGATAAACCAGCCAACTGCACAGAACCATAAAACATCCCAAACATTCATAAAACAAATACAATAAAATTTCTGACGACACTCCAGTGGGTACCCTTCCAGACACATCACACTCAAACAGGGGTTACTTCTAAAGAGGGAGGAGGCTTTCTTAATTTTACTCTGACCACTTTCTTATCTTCTTTTATAAAAAGCACATAGTCCTTTAATAGTAAGAATTAGAGATATTTTCAAAATAGCTACATACAAAAGTAAGTCACCAAGAATTATGATAAAAATGAATCTTCCCAAGATTTGCTAGTTGTACTGTGACCAGAAGCCAGAGAATTGCAGGGAGCACGCTTTGCTTACACTAAGACAAATCTTAAGGCAGGTTACACTGCACCCTAGCGGTTCAGATGCCACTGAACCACTTTTCTCTAAAATGTTAGATAATTAACAGCACAGCAGAGCCCTTACAATAGCCTTATTTTCTTTTGAGTTTTAGTGATGGTCATGGCCATTTTAGCAAATGACACAAACAGAGGAAACTAGCTGAAGAAAACTAGAGGTTTCTATCAAACCACCTTTGGTACTATAGGGACCGGAAGAATGAGAAACAGTACTTTAACAACATTCATTATAAAATAATCAGATGTGAACACTGATGACTAGACAGGATAAACTTAAATAAACAGAGCTCCCAGGCACGACTGCCAATTAGAAATCAACATGAATTATGACTCAGATGACCTTAACTTTGTTCTTCTGTCTGAAAAGCGCCCTCTTTATCTTGGTTCAGAACACTCATGGTCTCATTTGGGGGGCCTCTGCTCTCAGGAATGGGCCAGGCCTCCTCTGTCCTTACTCCTCTCAGGCATGTACTTACTGAGATCCACTAACTGAGGCTTTTCTCTGGACTTTCATGTTTTTGTGGAAAAAGGACAGGCCACTGGTGTACAAATAGACTACCATGTTCTCTAATGTTTCCTGCATGGCATCAGATCGAGTTTAAGCTGTAATGTATTGAGATGAACAAAGTAAGAAACCGGTTCTATTTCCAGCCCCGCCTCTTGCTACCATGGCTCTGGCTAAACTGCTTAACCTCTGGGCCTTGGTTTCCTCTTACTAAAAGGATAACATCTGCCTTGCTCAATGCACAGCTTTACTGCAACAATCTAAGAGAGCTCTGTAAATATACTACAGAAACGTTACATAATGTCAATTGCTCACATACCTGTGTATCTGACCAGCGTCCGTCCCGTAGATATCTCCCAAAGTTTAGCTACAGAGTCTTTTCCACTTGAGAGAATGTATTTAGAATTTTTGGAAAAAATGGCAGAACAAACTTCAGCACCGTCATGTGCTTTCTCAAAAGTTGTGATGCATCGATTTGAAACACCATCCCATAATTTGATGCAGCCGTCCTTGCTACCAGTTACATACATATTGGCACTAGGATTATAATTAACGGAACATATAGCATCGGTGTGTTGATCTTGAGGATTGCAAGAGACAAAACATTGAAACGTGTTGATATCATAAAGCCGAAGGGTAGGATGCTGAGTCCCCACAAGTATAAAGTCTCCGGAAGGATGAAAAGAGATGGACCGCAACATCTCAGCTTCCTGTTAGGACAGAGACATTACCATTAAGTGACCAAGTGGTGAACAGTTAAAGCCAGAGGAAATGCGGAAATTTTTGGCTGATGCAAAGAATCCATAAAACAATGATCAGGTATTTCACAGGTATGAGAAGGAATGACATTTTGGAATACATGGAAGTATCAACTGAACAGAGATTTCCAAAACTATTTCCTGGTGAGATTATTCCAAAAACCAAAGAAGTGAGCTTCATTATTTGCAAACGAACACTGGGTAAACTAAGAATGGATCAGTCTATGATACATTCACACACAATGAATGGATGCAGATAAACACAACCTGTACATACAAACAGCTTCTCTAATTTGCCTGAAGGCTCCGAATATTGAGTAAAAAAATTAAGTCAAATTATTAAAAGGTGGAAGCCATTACTAAAACAGTATTTCTGAACTGTATATTCAAAATAGGGTACCAAATGTCACTTTTCCAGCAAACACCTGATAGTTTTAACTGAGTAATTTTCTTATTCCCATGTGCTTTAAGCAGGAACCTGCGACCTTTAAAGATAGGGAGTCTGAACCCTTGTCGCATGAACTGTGACCAGCAGCACTCCTGACCGACCAGAGGCAGTGGGCACATGGCAGCATTTGAACTCAGTGCCCATGAAATCTGGTCCACGTGCCATCTGCGACATGCGTCCTTGTTGCTGTACATTGGTTTTTATAGGACGATCACTGAGACTACTTTTAAAGACAGAATAGTCATATAAGAGCTCATTGTTCTTAAGAAAAAAAACGTAAGGCTCCTTTCCAAACATTCCTGACCTGAATGTATTTGAAGGCTCTTTTTGCAGAAGGTTTGGAATAATCAAATAATTTAAGAGTATAATCCCTTGAACCAGAGGCAAGGATCTGTTCTGTTGGGTGGAAGGCGAGACATGTGACTTCATCCACGTGGTCATACAGAGTTCTGATCACTGGGTGGTTTTCCATATTCTGCTGTGCAGTCTCATTCATCATAACCTAGATCAACAAGAAGAGATGCTCAAAGTGTAAAATCTGTCTGACTCAAAGGACACAATCATCAACTGTGCTAAGTTAGAGCTGGTTTAAACTATTCCCTCCTCCCATGAACGAACAACGAAAGGCAAATAACAAGTGTGGTACAGGGATTTTCACCTCTATCGGCATGGCGCTCTTGGCCAGCATTCTTTCTGTATCCAGTATCTTTATGGAAGCGTCAGCCGATCCGGTAGCTATTAACTGTCCATCTCTACTGTAGGTAGCTACACGGCATGGTCCTTTATGGGATGTGACATAGCATGTTTCATACTCCGAAGCCTCTGGGGACATAGTCTGGACATCTGCATCAAATTCCAGGTCAATTCCTGTGCCAGGAGCAACTGTATCTGAACGACCAATTGCATACTGAACTGCAGTATCATCATTTTCCATTCCTGAAAGGAGTAAAAATTAAAGCATAAAAAAATGTAAAAGGCCAAGACCAAGTACTGGATCCAAACTGGGAAAGATGTTTGCCGATGCCAGCTTACAGTTTCTTGAACATGCACGATACTTAATAGCTTACAAAATTGTGTATTGACCTGGGTGCACACAGAGCGACAGGTTAAGGCAATATGGGTTGTGGAAGGTTAGGCTCCAATAGGTAAAGTCATCTCTCTTGATTTTTGCCTCCAAAATTTTCTACTTTAACCATAACTACAGAAAATCAAAAAAAGCAATTCTATAGTTAAATTGTCCATTTATTCATTTCAGATTTTAGTATTTTTAGTGAGATCTTCTTGTAGCAGCTCTTGAAGCTCAGTAAGTTAGATACATAGTGTTAACACCAATGAAACATATTTAAAGAATGTTGAACTCAAGTTTATCAAGAATATACATTTTAAATTAAAAATTAAATATATCATATAAAAACATTTACTAGTATAGGAAAAATTTAGAAATACCGGTGGACAAAAATATAAAAGTGACCTCATATCCTATCATCCAAAGATAATTACTGTTAACATGGTGGTATGAATCCAGGACCTTACTCTATGCACAGCTGTCTTATTTCCAAAAACAAAAATATAAACACATTACATAACATGTTGTGACTTGTTCATTTAATCATATAGAATAAAGACCTGGCCAGGATAATAAATGTTGATTTATACCATGTTGCTGGATCAAATTTTATGGACACAAGAACACTTACAACTAATTCTACACTATTGGGCATTTCAGTTGTATTCATTTAACAGGACAAAATTTTATAATTGGTATTGCCAAATCAAAGAGTGAAAACACTTAATAATTCTATACTGAGTGATTTCTATGACCTGGGCAAGCACCAGGATATCCTGTTGAACAAGACGAGGCCCAGATCTTTACTAAGCTTGCAGCATTTTGGGGGAGATGCAGATTGTGTAGGACACAACCCAAAGCAATAAAGAAAATTTCAGACAATGCTTTTGTTTTAAGTAAACGGGACTGTTGTTGAGAATAACTGGGAGGTGTAGGGAAGATAGTGGGTTATTTTAGAAGAGGTGAGGAGGACTTGGAGATGCCATCTGAACTGACACTTGAAGAAAGCCAGTAATTCAAAGATCCAGATAATCAAGATCCTGAGGCTAGCACCAGCATGAAATGTTTGTAACCTAGGCTTTGCTTACTCCTTCAGTATCTACCACTGCATGGACACATAGTAGTCACTAAACCAAAATGGCAATACTCTTAAAAGATTCTGATACGTGAAAACATCTGAAACCTTGCCATGGGATCAGTGAATTTGCAGGCGTAAGCTACCTAGTTTGATGAGATGCAGGAGTTGCTCCGAGGGCGCACAGACAGACTGAGGCTTGATTTCATTGATGAGGCCATTAGCAATGCTGATGTAGCCGTCATAGAGCAGCTGGCTGATGATCAGCTTGTAGAGCTGCTGGCGGTCCTTCAAGCCCACTTTGGTTCTGTACATCTTGGACAAGAGGAAGACAGTTCCCCTGCCAGCTGCAGGAAGAGAAAACAGGTGGATGGTGAAGGGCAGAGGCACTCGTAAAGCACAGAAGCAACACAGGAATCTGGTCAGATTCGCTTACAGGGCTTGAATCCCAGCTCTGCTAGCTGCATTATCTTTCATCACGACCTTTCTTTGAGCTCAGTGTCCTCAGCTGTAAATAAGTTGGTGAAGGTTAAATAGGATGGTGCATGAAACGCACTGACCAAGTGGCAAACAAATTATTTAAATCATGTCAGCCAATATTTACAGAGCTGCTTTCAACTTTTTTTCCTCTGCCACACTACCCATCTAGGCTTTATATTTATTGCTTTCCCAGAATCTTCCATTTATTCTGCTAATAAAACACTGGTGTTTGTTAACAGATAAGAGCTATGTAGACCGTTTGTCTCCACCAGCTGAGTTGTATGTTTACTAATGTCAGTTACATTTATTTTTAAAATATGTTAAGACAATGGAATTTACTATAATTTAGACAGTGAGATCAGAATATGAGGGCAAAAAAGCTACTGTGGTACGAAAACTAAGGTTGAATGCTTTGGAAATATTCAAAGACAACAATATTGGCAAACAGGATATAGCTAAAATTATTTATAAAAAATGGGTGAGGGCATGGAGGGCAGAAATCTGAAGGACTGTGCAGTTGGACTGATGTGCAAATACTTAAGTTTTCCCGTGGTCTTAAAAAGTGAAACAGGGAACTGTAGATGATGGTTTCTGGTATATGCAAAAACCATCCCCATCCCCTGTCCCCTCCAAAACCCCAACTCCAATTAGTGGACCTGTTAGATAATTTTATTATTAAAAACCAACGTCTGTATGCATGTGTGAATGTGTATGTCTGGAGAAGTATCAGAAGTCTGCAGGAGCTTGGAGACAGCAATAAATAAATGTCATAGGCAGACTGGTAGTTGTGGCAGAGAAGAAAATAAAAATTCTATGGCAGAGCACAGGAGATAGATGAATATAAGAAGAATATAAGAGTGACTGAGCAGTAACACCAGTACCTCCTGGTATTGCTGCACTTTGCAGGGGTGACTCTAGAAGTAGGGGGTGTTACAGGAAAGGGGTGTGACACCATGTTTTCTAACTACACAGCTCCCTCTGGGGAGTTACTGAGGCTACTGATCATAAGAATAGCTAACATTGAGGGTTTACCATGTTTTATTGCACTTTAGTGCTCAACACCATACTACAAAGGAGGTTCTATAATCTTGTTTAAAGATGAGAAGGGGAAATAACTTGCCCAAGGTCTTAGAACTAGTGCCTGCATGGCCCAGGACTAGGACACAGATGGTGTGCCTCGAGAGACTGTGTCGCTTCTAACCACTGTTTGTAGTGCTCTTAGAAAACTTAATGATAAACCAGCTAAAAAATTTCTTAAAGACGTTCAGTACAATATATAACACACACCGTGTAAGCCACTAATTTGCATTACCTCAATTCAATCCTCATCTAATCATTTTAGAGATGGGCAACCTGAGGACCAGAGAGCTTAACTCACCTAGAATCGAACAGCTTGTAAACGGCAGAGCCTGGATCCCAACCTGGGCTCTTTGGCCCCAAATATACTGACGGATGTTAACAGCCGTTAACATTTATTGATCACATGCCAGACACCGTGCTAGGCACTGTATAAGCATTAGTTCGTTGAATAAAATTATTCATGTAGAAGCAAATGTACATACACCTATGCTTGTGCAGAAACACCAAGACAAGAGAGGCTCAGGGAGGTCAGCAAATCCACTGAAAATAAAATGTTGACTGAGTAACTCGTCTAAGGTTAAAGCGGCCGCCCGAACCGTCCACATCAAAGCCCAGGGCATAACCACTACTCAATCCTGTCTCTTCACTCATGCCAAGGGCATCATGGGGTGTAAAAAAAAAAAAAAAAAAGTGAAAGAAAGAAAGGTCGAGCCCCGATTCTCAACTCTCAAGGAACGTTCGCTCGCCGGCCTAGTAGGTAATTACTACCACGTTTGCAGGTGGGGACACTGAGGCTCGAGGACCGGAGGAAACCGACCCAGTACTGGTTATACCCGGGGCTGGACCAGGGCGAGAGAACAAAGAAGCCCCCTCCCTGTCCGATCGGCTGCCACCCCGGCGCAGAGGCGAACTAACGACGGAGTGAAGGTGGGAGCGGGGCCTTTGAGGAAGAGGCGGTGGGCAGGCCCTGCCTGGCAACTCAGGGCGCACGCTGCCCGCTCGCCATCGACCTTCCCGCCCCGTCCCAGTCCTTCCCGTGCTCCCTAATGGCCCCAGCCGACCGCACCAGCCACGCTCCTCGCGGCCCGGCCCCCAGTACCCGCAAGTCCGGTTGTCCTGGTCTCCCGCTCTCTCCTAGAAAAATGGAGGCGCGAATCCTGCTCGATCGAGCGCTCGGAGCGCACGCTCATTGCGCAAGCGCACAGGACGCCGCGCCGAGCGCTGCGCTATCGATTGACTACACTCCCTCCCGCCCTTCTTGCCATCTTACTGGCGCGTTTGAAAGGTTCGATTACCTCCTCAGACTTTATCTCCTACGCGACAACCTTGACGCCGACGGGCTCTGCTTCACCGACAAACGCTGGATCTCGGAGAGCACCGCGGGCGGCAGAACCGCCAAGGATCTGTCGGGCCGTTGGCTCTGCCACTTCCGGGGACTTACGGGGCAAGTACGCCTGCGCGCCGTCTCGGCTTGGAACGCGACTGTGGCCGCCTACAGGGCTATGAACCAATCAAAAAGCAGCGCCTTTCCAGTCCAGACCAATCAGCTTCCAAATTAGAGGTTTTAACTCCTATTTAAAATGAAGACTTTGAATTATAACGGCTGGGTTCTCGGGAGGAGTTGGTGACCTGGGTCTGCGGCTGGAGCGGGCAGGTGTGTAGACCCTGGGGTAACTCTGTGAGGTTGGCGCGCAAGGCAAGGTCGGCCGGCCCCGGGGGCCCTTGAGCGCAGCTGGACCGGGGCGGAGGGAAGCGGGCGGCGGGGTCCCGGGGCCCGGGAGGGATCCAGTCGGGGCAAGGGGACCTCCCTCGGCCCCTCGGTTTCCTCTGTCCCCTCCGTCCCTTGTCTTCCCTTCTGTCCCTGTCCTTTTCCCTCCGTCCCTTCAGCGCCTCCTCGGCGCCCTCCCGTCTGCTCCCCGGTACCCGGGCGCCCTACTAATTGCCGCCTGATGTTTACTAAATACCGCGAATTCTGATGTAATTCCCGTATTCCGTGAGCACCTGGGTAAGAAGAAAATACAGAGGGTTTTTGCTGTCTTGGAGTTCACTTTTAGTGGGGTGGGGAGACCCGACGAACTAGTGGCTCCCGAGAGTGAAGACTGTTAGGAAATAGAGCGGTAAGGTACGGGGGGCTGCTTTGGATAGAACTGCCAGGAAAGGGCCCTCGTCCCGGCTGGCTGAATGAGTGGGTGAATAAATAACTTCGAGGTCTTCCTGGGCCAGTGCTTCTCAAACCGTGGACCTTGGGTTACCTTTACTAGGATTACTTGAGGCTTCTTGTTAAAAAGGTAGAACCATTCTTGTTAAAAATATAACGAATCAGAAGCCCTTGGGCATAGGACTGCAGTGTTTGTATTTTTTTCAAGCTCTCCAAGGGATTTTCATGTGTTTCTGAGACTAGTGATCCGGACCAGCAAATACTAGTCATCTGGGGACGTTAAAATGCATCTGATTTGTTAGGTTTGGGGTTGGGTCTGAAAGTCTCTATTTCTAACAAGCGCCCTCCTGATGTACATGTAGCTACTGCCCTTGACTTTTAATGTCTCCTCTTAATTTTTCTTGTTCTTTGGCTTAAATGCTTCTCGGCAACATACTCATTTCCTTTCCACTCTCCTTAAGGCAGACATTAGCAGATTTGACGAAGGAAGGAAAAGTCGAAGCCCGCAGTGCTATTTATCTAACAGTTTTCCTGTTTAGAATGGCAGGCTGTCCGCTTTGAGCTGCCGGGATCTTGTGAAGGCGTCTGATCCTGGCTGTGGACCAGAAAGAACTACCTGAGCAGTGTTCCCGGCAATCTCTCCAGAATTTCTGCATCAGAGTCTTACTCCATTTTGCTTACTATTACTATTTCATCTCTCTGAGAAGGAAGGTATATTAAATTGGAACAAATGTCTATAGCTTCTGTGAAGATGGCTGAATAAACGTCTCTAGGCCTATGTGATCTCATCAGCCTGCTACTTGTAATTGTTAGGGAAAATGAAGAAAACATTAGGGCACCCATGAAACCAACTTTTTCATAACACAAGTGTATATTTCCTTTTCCTTTTTGTCTATTTCTACTAACGCACTGCTTGACATAAAGACTGCAGGCTCTTTAACTGTGTTCCCATCTTCAGGGTGGAGTTAATATTTGCTTGTTTGTAAAATGGATGTGAAAGCAGGGGGGGAGGAGAGGTTTCTGATTGGAATCTAGAATTCAAAGAGCACCTGGGTAAGAAGAATACAGAAAGGTGTCTGCTTTCTTGGAGTTTATATTCCACTTACTGGATAGTTGGTGTGCCTGACTCACAGTATGAGTTTATTAAGTATTAATACATTATTTTCATTATTGATTTGCTGTGTGAAAGGTTAATTCATTCTGAAAACATTGATGTACATGCTATTTGCTAGGCAGGTTCTGGGGAGGCAGGAGTGAACAAGGTGGGACTAAGCCCTTGCTCTCATGGAGCTTACTTTTTTTGGAGATGCTGAGCATGTAGCGGGTATCTCAGTCTGGGTAGATAGACAGTAAACAAGAACAAATAATGCTGTGTAAGATGTTTAGTTCGTGGCTATGAAGAAAAATAAAGGAGAGATGGTCTGAAACTGACATCAGAGCAGATACCTGAATGGAACAAAGGAGCAGGCCACACTTTTGTTGGGGGAAGAGCCTAATAGGTAGAGGGAACAGGAAGTGCAAAGGCCCTGTGGCAGGGGACTTCTTGAGGAAAGAAAGGAGCTCTGTAAGGCTGGTGTGTAATAGAGAGAGGGGTAGATGAAGTCAGAACGTGGTCAAAGTCTGTGTTCTGAGACTCTGTACGCCATCTACGTGAGTAGGATTTTGAATTTGAATTGTGGATCCATGAGGTGCTTCTGAACCAAGGACCGATGTATCTGACTTGTTAATGGCATCACTAGGTGCAGTGTTGAGAAGGGACTGTAATAGGCTACACGACCATTGGGAACCTGTTGCAAATAACTGAGGGGAGAGAAAATTGTGGTTTGACCAGGTGGTGGTATTGAGGGTGGCAAGCAGTGATTCTGAAGGTAGAGCTGACAAGATAGGCTGACAGATGAGATATGGCGTTTGAGGGAGAACCATGTAAAAGATTATACTAGGACTTTTGATTTTGAGCAACTGAGGATGGATTAGCCATCAACTGAGATGGGGGCTTCTATGAGAACAGGTCTGAGATCATGGCCCCGTGGGGAGAGAGCAGGATTTCAGTCTGGGACCTTAAAATTGAGGTGCCACCTAGATTATCAGGTGGTGATGTGTAGGTTATAGGGGATCAGAGGAGTGGTCTGGGCTGGAGATGGAAATTTGGGGGTCCTCAGCTTTCAAATGATAGTGAAAACCTAGGAGACTGGATGAGCTTACTTAGGGAGTGAGTGTAGCTAGAAAAAGACAGTGTGTTTCTGGGCTTGAACTCAGGGTGTTTCCATGAGCAGAGGAGAAAAGTGTGGAAGAGAGAAGAGATTATGTTTGGATGTGTTGGGTCTGCCAGACTTCTCAGGCCTTTCTTGGGGTGTCCTGAGCAGGTAGTTAGCTATCTGAGTCTGACAGAGAAGAGGTTATGGCAGAAGATGCAAATATGAGTTACCTTAATAAAGATGTTTAGAGCCCCAGTGTTGGATAATGGCCCTAGAATGGTGTGGGTGGAGAAGGGGGTGTTCAGTGACTCACTCCCAGGTCACCCCAGACACTGAGGTTGGTAAAAATGAGGCTGATCCAGCAAAGGAGGTTGCTGGTGAGGAAGGAAATACATCTGCAAGCTAAGTGAAGGAAAGAGTGGAAAAGAAGGCTGGATCCTGTCAAATGCTGCCCGGAACGCGTGTAAGGTGAGGGTGGAGAATTGACCTTTGGATTTGGCAGCAGTAGTAAGGACAGAACCTGATGGGAGTGGGTTCCAGGGAGGGTGAGAAGTAGAGATGGGCAGTGTGGGTGACTGTTCTGGAGCTTTGTTGTTGAAAAGGAGGCGAGAGATGTGGTCATAGCTTGAGTCAGTTATGGAGTAAAGAGGACCTTTTTGTTCTCAAGGCAGCAGGTGTTGAAGCAAGTGTGACTGATGGAAGTGATCCATTAGAGGTGATGGAGGGAGTTCTAGAGTGAAGTTTGAGTGTTGAGAAAGGGATGCAGGGTAGTGGGAAGGCCCCACACCTGAACATTATGTCCCATTTGGACAAAAAAAAAAGTGTAAAATTCTGTGTGTTGAAGCTTTTCATCAGCAGCAGTAACTGTGATCTAGCATAACACTTTGAAGCAGGTAGATTTGTAATATTAAAGTTCTTCTTTCTTTTTAGGCATCATGGACAGATCTAAAGACAACTGCATTTCAGGGCCTGTTAAGGTAAATTGAATAATCGGTAATCTCTATTACATTCATAAAACCCAAATGGAGATTGGTCTTACATATCTGTAATTCTGTCCACCTTCACTTTGGATTATAACTTAGATGCCTCTACTACCTTCCTAGGTGTGAATCAGTCACTTTTCTTAGCATTCAATAATATTCTGTTGATTCTCTCACCGTAACTTTTATTTGGTTCTGCTTTGTCTTGTAGTTAGCGGCTTAAGTATCTGTATTCTGTCACTGTATGTGGGACAATCATGTACACAGTATGGGCCCAAAACTTGCCTGTATTTTCTGGCTTGCCAGAAATTAACTGCTTTCCAAAGTTTGTTCTGGGATCACCATTCAGAGAATGGAAAGCTCAGAGGAATGTCAAGCTGCATGTTAGTGAACATGTCCTGGGAACCCACTTTGAGCCAGGTTCTGTGTCAGATGCAGGGGTTACAATGGTGAAAAGCATATGGACTTTGACTCTGAGGAACTAGAGCCCTTTGGGGAGGTGTGTGAGCCAGTACCATGCCTTATAATACATACAGGACCCGAGTAATTCCGAGAAGGGGTGCTCAGTTCAAACTGGGATATGTTGGAATCTGGGAAGGCTTCACCCAGGCGAGACCCCTGGCTGTTAGTATTTAACAAACAGTTGTGAGCAACTGGATGAATGAGTCTTTCATATAACAAATCTTTAATATGAGGAATCCGCATAGTGTTTCCTTCTAGGAAATCAAAAGAATATAAATATGCCTTGATTTTCTTTGTTTTGGTTGGGGTGGGTATGTTTTTAGAAGTCTTTACCTTCAAATAAATGGATACTTTTTTTTAAACTGGCTGAAAATATAAAATGACGAATTAGAAAAAGGCTAACTTGAGTCACTGTATTTGATTTTCAGCTCCTGAGGTAAAGATTATTTTTTAAATTGCTCTTTGTTTAAAATGTTTGTCATTGCCTAAATGCCTACTGTGTTGTGAATGCTGCTAATTTCAGAGCTTACTGACTTTTTACTTTGAAACTGGAAGCCCGCCCTTGTAATGCAATAATACCAGTGAGTTGATGACAGACTCTGAATCTTCCCTTTCCTGCAGTTTCCTTATTTATGAAG